GGCTGGGCTCACTAGCTTAACTAACGCCTTCCAACTTTATGATTCCATCTTTCCATTATTCAGCATGTCTGCTCAGACATAAAACTAATTGTATTCTTAAGCTGTAATCATGGTCAAATTAAAAACAGCTCAGGGTTCAGACATTAGACTAAAAGGGAATTAATGGAAAATGGAAGCAAAATATTTTTATCTGCTTGTGGCTATTCTGGAGGAGGAAAGAAATGGAAATATATATGAGGTTGAGGTATATTTACATAATGCTAAACCATGGCTCAGCATTACCATTACAGGCTAGAACCTCACCCCACACATCACCCCAAGGTATTCATTCTTATGTTAACATTATTGTAGATAACTTTCAGGTTTTATATATGGAACTGTATCATGCCATTAGATCATTTCAGGTTGATTTCAAATTTTCTGCCTTGCGCCTGTGCATGTCGATGAATTTAGCTGCATTTTTTGGGATGTGCATTTCCAGTTCATTGTGACGTTTGATTTTGTTTATTTTCTCACTCTTGAACATTTCAGATCATCTGCAGAATCTTAATGAACTATTTTCATGTATGTTTCTCCACATCGTGTGAGGCTTGAGGAGGAATAACCAACCCTGGGGTGGTTGGCACACTGAAGATGTTCCCATAGGTCGATAACCTATTATATACCATCAGTTCCTTGGAATGTATTATGAACACTGTTTTTATTGAATTTTTATTGGTTTTTATTCTTATTTTTATTGTAGATCGCCCAGAGTCGCTCTTTGAGTGAGATGGGAGGTGACTAAATTTGAAAAACAAACAAACAAACAAACAAACAAATAAATAAATAAATAGTGCATTCTTGCATTTTCCTGAAGTTTTCCTTAATATAGTCTTTTTGTCTATTTTTTTTCTGTTTTGCATACTTTTAGCTAATGGGCAGATTTTGTGGGTATTTCAAAACAATGCAAATTTGAAAGGAGAATTGAGGTTCAGTCACATGTTGGCTAAAGTTCTTCTCCATATACACCCATGATGTATCTTAGATTTGATGTTGGAGCGTTTAGGTTAAGATGGTGGCTTTGGGGGCTGAACTCTCTCTTAAACAGATACAGATGGAGGCCATGTTGCTGAGCATTCGGGCTTATTAATGAAGGTTTCTAGCATAACATGCCATACAAATACAAACACTGGGTGAAGCAATCCCAAAGATTGCCCTATTTCCTCCTGAGCTCTAACTTATATGGTACATTGTTAGCAGAACTGCTAAGTTCATAGACAAGGCAGTTCAACTAAGAATCCGTTATACTGAACAGATCAGGGTGTCATGTACTGGCGATGTATTTATCTGAATGTTGATTCTTTGTATGTAGCACATATGTACTTTATAACTGTATTTTCTTTTACCTATTTTATCCTGGATGTAGACCTTGCATTTTGCCTTTATTTTATTTTCTTTGATATGGTTGTAGGACTCATCAATCAATAAACTATTAACTATATTTTTCTATCTATCACACAAATACAACCACTGGGTGAGGCAATCCCAAATACACACCAGCAACTTTCCGTTATTTTCAAACACATTCAGATAACCCTGGCTAAACTGAGATATTACCACAAGGCAGCCTTGCTGATATCCAGCTGAATTGATAGATCAGCAGCTGCCAGCTCTCTATCTTGATGTATTGGAAGTAAATTTTGGTTTATTTTCTCTCTCCCGCATGTGTTCCTCTGCTGCTGTAATCATGCCAGAGTTCTCTGTGCTTCCTTGCCAGTAATTTTGGTGCAAACCAGCTTTTTAAACCCATTGCCAATAGATCTAAGCTACTTTCTTGATTCCAAAATCTAAAAATGGAACCTTCATGATCCTCAGATAATCACAGTGATTTCAATATCTGCACCTCTTTTTTGTGTGTGTGAGAAAGAAAGAAAGAAAGAAAGAAAGGAAGGAAGGAAGGAAGGAAGGAAG